AATTGCCCGGATTACTCCAGCACAGGCAAAAATACTTGGAAAATACTGGGATGAGACGGACAGGCACCACTTTTGGCCATCAGCTCCTTCCTCCTGCACAAGGCAAGCTGGAAAGCTGCCTCCAGGAATTTGTACCGCAAGGGGACTCATCCCCTCCCACTAAGTGACCGACAACTGCTAAGGTTAGTGACTGCTGGATGAACTTTGAATGTATTTCTTTAAAAGACTTGAAGAGTTCTTGATTCGAAGAGTTCAAGCGATGGGAGAACTTACCGTGCAGGCTGAGCTGCTTCAGCTGTTCATGACTCCAGGGTTTGGTTGCATTTCTGTGCCTTTGCCTGGTAGACAGGAGAACTGTCTCGCCTCAATGCTGTTCCCCCAGCAGAAATACTGTCTCTAAGTCAGCCCTAAATCGTCTGTTTGGGAAGAGGAATTTTGTTGGAAAGAGCCAACAGACCAGGCCTAGAAGCGCCTCAGCGGAAAATTGTCTTCCAAGCCCAGACTGCCCTCCTTGGTCTTTTCTGCCTCTCCCCATTTTTCAATATGATTTTCAAAGCATGGCTATGCAGCAGAAGAAGGTCTTCTAGCAAATGTCCTGATTTAAGACTAGATCCTTGAGATGTGCGTTTCAGCCTTCAATAAAATGCATTTTATTTTTCTATACAGAAAAAAATGCCCATTACTGGGGCAGAAGGGAACGTTGAAGAGATGAAGCGATGACCTCTTTCTCTGGAGCAATTAGTCCTGATAGGCTGTACAACGAGCCTGGAAAAGAGCACTGTAATTTTCATAGAATAACTGCACCTAAGTATCAAAAGTGTTAAAATGACCCTTTCATTATACAGGGCTGGAAGGTTAAATATGATTCAGGGGCTGTGCACAGATCCCCTGTTGGCTTAATTGCACAGCAGCCCACGTTTAAAGCCTTTGTAATCATTTATTAAAGATAAATGATGGAAAAGAAAGACGACTTTAAGATACCAGTCATTTAAACTAAGAGTCAAGCTTTTGAAATACCATACGTTCTGTTTTCTGCATCTGACAGCATGAGAAAGGTATCCTCTCTCCTTTTGGATTAAAAACATAGAAGCTGGAAAGGGCTGGAGCTGCCAGCAACTAAGAGATCTGCTGCATTTTCTGAGACAAGGCGAGAGGAACATACAAGGGAGGACAGAAAAATGCAACTTCTTTACCCTTACCTGCAGCCCCTGGGGCAGAGGCAATGGAAGACTCTGGCTACAGTTTGTGACTTGGTTGCCCTCCTGGGAGCCAGTCCCCACGTTGGCTTCCTTTTAACCCAGCTTGCTTCTGCCTGAATTTTCTTGTATTTTTGAAACTATTATGGCTTTTGGGCGGGTTTTTTTTTTTTGGGGGAGGGGGGGGCAGATTTCTTTAAATAGCACCGCTGGTGGTGTGGACCAGGTCCAGTATCCCAGCTTGTCCTTCAAAAGCATCTGCAAAATAAACTGTTTGGCTTCCTTCTTGTCCCATGGCAAAGGATGTCCCTGGTGCGTGGATGGCAGCACCGGCCGGTCACCAGGCATCTCCAAGTAGTGCAGGGGGCATCTCTGAGATACGCTCATGTACGTTCTGTACCTCAGCTCATTCCTCCTCTGGACAGAAATTGGGAAGCATCAGTCTATCCGACTGCAGGGCCACGGCCATTCTCCAGGATGGTCCCTGGACCACAAACTCCAACGCGGGCTTGGGGCAGAGCTCCATATAAACAACATTATTCCCTTCCCTTGTTCCTTTTGCATGGGACAACTAAAGAAGGAACCCCAAGCTTGGAAATAAACACCAGCACAGACAGGAATGTTTACCATTCAATGTATTATTCCCTCGTGTACAAAGTATTTTGCCTCTATAATAGCACACAGGTATTGAAATATGATGGCAAATGCAGAAAGACCATACAGACATGTCTTGCGGGTCTTTTCATTTCCTTTTGAGTATAAGCAGAAAGAAAAGAGACACTGTACAGGAAAGTGCTTGCAAAAAAAACCCCAGTTTGTAGAAAAATAATGGCATTGATATACAAAACCCAGATTTGTTTCCTGAACAAGAAATGTCTAATGTCTCTGGTCCTCAAAGTTTGTTCCTATTTAATGAAGCCCATTAATGAACCACAGGATCAGTGCTCTACCATTTTTTTCCCTTATAGTTTATTTAATTTTTTTTTTAGGTTTCTCTTGCTCTGTTAATAGCTGCTATGAAACTATATGGTAGAAATGAATGTATACCTGTCAAAATAATATTTCTTTTTATAAATAGCCATTCACTTCATTAGAGAAAATATAATAAGCCTGTACTTTCTAAGCACCACTGTTTCTTTCTAGTGTTCATAGTGCAATTTTCCCTTTTCCACTACAGAAGTTATACATAAGCAATTATCATTAAAAAAATCACTATTCCATTACTACTCCTTTCCCTTTTCCCTTTTTTCCTCTTTCTCTTTCCCTTTCCCCTTTCCCTTTTCTTTTCTTTCACCTTTGAAATGGTATTTTTGGCCTTTTTCTCAGAAAGGCAGCACTTATTATTGTTATGCATAGACATACAACGTAGGTGAAAAATTAGTCTAAGATATGATCATATCTACTTATGCGCTATTAAGCCAAAACCCCCAAATTATGGGTGAAAGTCTCATTCTTTCCTCTAAGCCTGAATACCCCTAAGGGCAGCAGAGGCACACACAGAGTAAGTGTGTAACACCAGTTCTTTTGCTGCTCGACCGCAGCACAGCCCTGCCCGCCTGTGAGATGTCTCCCAGCTGATGTGTGACCGTCAGGCCGACAGGTTTCGCCCTGAAGGCTGAACACAGCCCGGCGCATCGCATGGGTTATGAATCCAGGGATCGGATCGCTTATCGCTATTGATCCGGCTGTTTTGTAACAGCCTGATTACACATCCTTTGGGGAGCTCTGCAAAAGACTGACATGAGATCCCGAGGTTGGGTTTGTTAACTGTTTGCAAGACTCATCTGAAGTAGCAGAGAAGCCTCTCTAGTTTTCCAAACTGCTGGCAATTTTGTGCTGAAAAGCTTCCTTTCCACGTACTTTGTGCTCCTGGCTGCCCCAACATATAAGGTGATGGAGCAGCATCTTCCTATCGCTAACAAAAATTGTGGAGAAAGAGATAAGGGACATAGTCATAGACTACAAAAATAATCTGGTCACATCACCCCCGTTCAACGTGCTACGAAGCTCTGCGAAAACGTGGCGTGCCACAAGCGGCGGGCTATGTACAGGCGGGAGCCATCGCCCAGCCGCGTTCTGCGCCTATGGGAACTGTCTCCTCAATTTAAAATTTAAAAAAAAAAAAAAAAAGCCAGCACTAAAGGTCTGGGTGTACACGGGATGGCGGATGGGCAAGGAGCACAGATGCCTTACCAGGAAGATCCAAAGCAACAGAGAAGTGGGCGTAAAGCAGCCTGTTTTTCAAGGGGGGGGCAGAGTTATCTGTAAGTACAGAGTGATCTTGTTGAAAGGAGGCAGAGCCAGCGCCGAAGCCTCCCTTTGCAGATGGTCTGCGAGTGAGTAGGAAGCTGAGGAAACGCTGCAGGTGCTGCAATGGAGTCCCCCAGCCAAGAGGAAGGGGTGGCTTGGCTGGGCGTGCTGCACCCCGTCCCCTGCCGCAGACCCCGTGGTCCTCACCGGCCCCACGGGGAGAGAACCTGGCAGGGACGCTTTGGGCTTCACGTTAGGGTTTTGCGACCACGGCCGTCAGAAACTGCAGCGCTTCTCAGTGCACAGCCCAGGGAAACATATGGCCTGATCAGCCCGTCTGGGATGTGATCATACCCCGCTTCCAGATGGAGCCAGGAAGCACAGTGGTACATGCAATTAGGAGACAAATATATGGTTTTTTTTTAAAAAAGCGCGTTCACTTCGGAGCCCTACAAAAAAGGGGCTTGAGCTGAAGATCCATCTGCAGGAATTTTCCTGAACCTGGGGTAATTCTTAATTTATTTGAATCACCTGAATTTTTTTTTCCGTTTTCTTGCTTTTTTTTTTTCTTTCCCAACTGATAAAGGCACTGGATTAACTAAAACTACAGAGCATTAATAAATATCACGTTAGCACCAAACCAGTGCTTTTAGCACTGGCCACAGAGGTCATGTGAAATTCAAAACATACCTAAAAGATAAAGATTGCTAATGCAACTAGCACTGTATTCATTGTCATGTTTTCCTTGAGCACTGTTGGCCTAATCCCTAAAAATAAAATTTAAGCACATCTTGTCTGTTTTCCTTACATACAGACAGATTGAAATGCCAAAAATACCCCTGTGCAGATTGTGTAGCACCGTAGAGGGCCAAAGCAGCCCATAACTGAAGGAAAATTACTGATTGAAAGTAAACAACTGAATACAGTGACAATAAAGTATCACTTGTCATAATGCTACATATAATGTAGAGTACGCAAAATGCAGTGGTTCGACTGCAGGATTTAACAATAAAAAATAAAAATAGTAAAAGCAGCCTTAATATAATGATTTTACGTACAAAAATATTAAATCAAAATAAATAATTCCAAACATAAATATTATACTGTACATTAAGAATATGCAATCTATATACACACATAAACAGATAAAAAAAAGCGGAAGGCAGAGGTATTGCATCCCTATCCTTCATCTCTCTCCTGGCTGCTCTCAGAGAACCTGGAAAATACAGACGAGGCGCACGTTAGAAGCGGATCATCAGCTTTGCCTCTGCAGCCTACCCGGAGCCACCAGCAGGCGAGCGGAGCCCCGGCGGCTGCCGGCGAGGCGGGAAGCGCGTTGCCAGTTGACAGCGTTAAACCCACGCAAGCGTTACTGGGGGAGGCGAGGGCTGGGAGCACTGGATCCCACTGCTCCCCGGATGCTACGCGGGGTGGGTGGCTGTCACGGGTGCACTCCATACACGAGTGCTTTTGCAAGCGTGGCCTGATCTGCTCCTTCGGGATGTTTTCGGGAAGATCTCCCTTCGTGCAGAAGCAGCTGGGGACTCACCATGGCTATAACACCTGAACGTCGAGGCCTGTTCCAGATGATGGAGTACATTTCCCACAGTAACCGCCACACTTTCCTACTACTTTGGTACCATCCTGCAGGCAAAATCAGAAATAACATCTCGTGTAAGGGCTCAGGAACTCCATGCTGTGAAAAGGCCAGATCTGGGTTATTCTAGCCAGGATTTTTAATAGAAAATGTCTTGGAAGGAAAACAAATTATGCCTAAATCAATCTATGAAATCACCGTTATATTTAAATATATGCAAATGTAATTCTCTTTAGTGCTGCCAGGTCAGATGGTGAACACAAATAAGAAAGGGTAGTTTTGATTTATTACACTGAGTGATGCCCAAGGAGAAGGCCGTTTGGAGGGATATCTCAAGGGTATCTGCTTTCTCCAATTTGCCCCAGAGTGAATAACTGTAATGAGTAGAAAACTCGGATCATGCAAGAGGAAAACTACATCTAAATAAGAACAGCACCTCAGTTGTGCCTGAGCATGTGAAGGGCACGGGAAGGATTTTTGCAGGCAACACCAAGAAACATCTATCGGGAAAGGAAAGGCCTGGAGTGGCTCCAGAGCCAAGCCAAGAGGGAAAGTGATGGGGTGAGGCAATGCCACTTGCTAAGGTGCCATCCCACCTTAGCTCTGCATTACCACAGCCAGAAGAGGCAGAAGAAGACACAGAGAGGTCCTGGGCTTGGCCCTGTCTCCAGGAGAGCCCAGCAAAGCGTGGTGCGACTCCAGTCTTGAGTCAGGAGATTAATACCTCTGGCCTTCCTTATCCCACCTCTGCAGAGTCTTTCGCCTCTTGATCATTACAATGGACAGTCCTTAAGGGGAATTCAACCCTTAATTACCAGAAAATTGGACTTAAGTGCAGGACAAGCTGGCACAAAGCATTTATTTTTAAACGAGCTCCATCCTGCCCTTGACACTATTGATCTGTGATTGCAGCAGACTGCCATCATCTCTTCTCGCTATGCTTTTCTTTCTTCTCCTCCCGCAGGCAATTACAGCCCTGGAACAGCGTTTGACAGATGCCACTGGGTGATGGAGGTAAGAGCTGTCTCTTAGACCCCCTGTCCCTTAAAGTTTGTTTTAACTCTGCCAGCCATGATTGTGGCTGCTCTCCGCAACCCCAAAGTCGCCTGCCCGGGCTTCTCCTTTCGGAAGGGGAGAAGAATAGCAAAGCACCTGCCAGAACTAACACATGGGGCCTGTGCTGGTCCTCTTCTACCTGTACTGGAGGATATTTTGCTGTAGCATGGTTGGACTGGTAGCATTTAATTCTCCTTTAAGAGCTCCAGCACTGACGAAGCTCATGGGCTCAGGGGGCTCCCCAGAGCCAGGGAGGCTGAAAGCAGTACAGGAAAGGATATTTTGCAAATTGCTTTTTGTTAAATGATTATGGTGACCTCCTTAGGAGAGTTTTAGCTTTTAACAGGGGCAACTGGAATGACTCACATGAAGTAACAGCCAAAAAAGCGGGCCCGGGTTTCTCCAATTTCAGAACATGACACAGGAGCAATGGCACTAAGGCACACAGTGGCAGAGGGGTTGTTGGGCAGGCAAATTAAGCCGTACAAGTTCAAATTCAGCTGTTGAGTGATTCTGAAGGCCTGCCTGGCTTACCCGGAGGCCTCAGGGTCTGCAGAGCCACAGGCAGCCGCAGGGGACCATGCCCCAGGGTGCTGTGGGGCAGCCCCAGCCCACCGGAGCTTGGGTGACTCAGGTCTCTCCCAAGGAGATAAACCCAGACCAGCCCGTTGGGAAGGTCCACGTCCTCCACACTTCATTAGCAACATTTTGGGAACAATTCCTACTCAGGGCACTCACCTGGCACCCAGACCCTCCCTAGCAGGTCAAGCCCTGCTCTGCAGCCCTGTCCCTGAGCGCCCTGGTCCTGCCTGCTGTGTGATGCATGCTCCATGCCGGACATCTCAGCTAATTAAGGATATGTCTGCCCCACAGCACTCAGTTTTCAGCTTCACGGGTAAGCAGGCTCACTAATTAATCGCAATAACTCAAATCAAGTTCAACCCTCTAGCTTCCCCCGCCTCAAATACAGTTACAGGCAACACTTAATTTCTGAGGTCAGATGTTAGATTTTTGTTAGTCTTTACTGGGAAGATATTGCCACGAAAGACAACAACTAGAAATTTCTCATCAGTGGGTATAACCGTAATTAAAATTACAACTTACTGGGGATTTTTGAATTTCCGACACGGCGTAATTCCCTTGTGAGAGCCACTTTGCAGTTCCCGTTAAGGACAGGCCTGTCCCGTACAGGTCTATGCTGAAGCGACCCTAAAAAACAAGCAAATGAGCCTGGTTATCCCAAAATGTTGTGCTTTTGCCACGGTGTCACTTTTCTACCAGGATCTTGCTGGCAATGTTTTCAATTTTTTCCATCGCTCTGATCGTGATTAGCACATATTGTACAAATCGCAGCACGTCTCGGGTTAGGAATTTCCTTCTCGTTGGTGGCTACGGGGAAGGAGGGGCTCGATCTCGGTTTTTCACGGCTGCTTCTCGGGCTCGCTCTGCTTTTTCGCACTTTGCCGGCTGAGGGCATTCTTGGCTTTTCCATGGCAAACTGCAGCGCCCGACCTGCTCCGGCAGCCGGTGGGGAAGGGATGCGCTGCAGCCGCTCTCCCTGCTCCTTTCTCAACTGGAGGGGGCACACTTGTCCTTATTTTCCTTATTTTCCACTGGGCTTCCCCCTCCTCTCTTCTCCCCAGACTTCAGTAAAATCAAAACTCACTCATTCGTTCATTCCTTAAAAATGTCCTTCACTTCATTCCACCCTGCCTTCAAATGCACAAAACCGGTGGAAAATTAAGGACTATGTCTGCCTCCAGTGCAGATGCCCCCCACCTTCCTCTTACCCCCATGGCAGACCCCAGCCCTGCCCGTTTCTGGACACGAGGAGGGATCCTGTGGCCACCTCCCCAAGCTGTGCAGTACCAGATGGCTGTTAGCTTTGCTCCCTGCACTCGCTGCCTTGGGAACGTTGATTTTCTGTGAGGAGCAAACTGTCTGGGTCAGGTGGATGGATATTAACATTCATGAGCCTTCCCGAGGTAAGAAGTCAATCCCTAAGCTGCTGAGCTGTGCAGAAAAGTGTCAGCTCCGAAAGTAGGGAGGGAAGGAGATGGAGAGGTTTGCCCTCTGCCGTCTGTTGCTGCAACTCCCTACTTAATGCCCTTTGCAAATATGGTCTACCCAGTACCTTGGACCATCCAAACATACCACTTATCATCATCCCCCAGCTCCACAGAAACTAGATGTGCTGGGAACATGGAGCAAGCCACCTGTAGCACAGTGTTAACTAATCTCCTAAAGACTTTCAAGAAAGGGTATTTCTCCCAAGCAACTGGGCTAGCTGTTCTTCATTGCCTCCTGAAGCTACTGAGGATGCAATTTAGCCTGTGCCCAGCTCTGTGCTTTTGTGGTGCTGGGACAGGCTGGATTTGCCCTGATGCACAGGCGCTGCATCAGGGCAAATTCCCCATCCCTGGAATCATTCAAGACCAGGTTGGACGGGGCTCTGAGCAACCTGATCTAGTCAGTGGTGTCCCTGCTCACTGCAGGGGGGTTGGACTAGATGACCTCTAGGGGTCCCTTCCAACCCAAAACATGCTATGATTCTATGATTTTGTCAGTGTTCTCCCAGCCCCAGAGTGGAGTGAGCGATGGTCCCACTGGGCTGCTGCAAAAATAAGCAGCAAGGCATGGGGATGGTGGGACAGCAGCTGCCAGGTACCATTGCAGTCCCTGACTGACGGTGTCTGTTGGTCCAGCAGCAGAAACCTGACCTGTTTCTGCCCTGCAGATGCCCTCTCCTTCTCGGGCATCTCCCCCCTGAGCTGGCTTGCCAGGAGTCTTGCTGTCTGTCTGTTGCCTTCTCCTTCCAGAGGAGTTCTCTCACCCATCTTCCCACCCCCTGCAAACAGCAGTTTCTGCAGATATGAGACTGTGGAACGCAGAGGCAGGGTCCCAGGGCATCCCGACGGCCTGATTCACTACTGCTCTCCCTGCCCAGCATTTCCACCAAGCCCTGCCACAGACCAATCCCCCAACCTTCAACCACCCTGCGCCCACCCCTTCTCTCACAGCTTATTTCTTCTTCCTCTTCTCCAGGGCTGCGGGAGCCCTGGGGAACATCCCTCAGCCGGTTCTGATGCTGGTCTGATAACAACCTGACATTTTCCCATATGGAAAATGGAGAGTGCTTTCTGCACGGACAAAGGGAAAAGTTTCCGACCACTGAGATGAGAATGCGACACTCACTGGTGTCACTGGGCTGATGCAATCAGCAGTAATTAATAGAGGGCCTAAACAAAACAAATGGCCCCAATTCCTATGAAATGCTATTGTCAAATACCTGCGGGCATTTGGCTGCGCTGTAGCAGTCCCCAGCAGTGGCATAAGGAACGGGTCGTCCATCATGTGTCCGTGCAAACTGTAAATCAGTCGCTGTGGAGAAGGGTTGGTGAACAACATGGGAAAAAAGATGCAGGGAGAGAGACAAAATAGATGTAAACATGCTCTTCACTGATGTTTAAATTCACTAAAGCTGGTTTCGTACATTAATCTTGAGAGTCAAGACTGCTGGATTTTTAATATTAAATCCCCCAATTCATCCCACATGTGACTCCTGGCACGTGAGCACTGAATTTAGCAGGACACTTACACACGCAACGTTTGCAGCTCAGTTTAAGTACACTGGTGATTTAGGGCATGTATAAATAACAAGAAAACTCGAAGCCATGACTCGGGTTTTATTTCTCTATCACAAAACTCCCCACTTTCAAGAAGGCCACAGGACCTCCTAAATCTCCCTTTTAAACAAAGGCAAACAACCATCTCGGCGCTCTCCCGGCTGCCCCAGCCCAGGGGTCGGGGGTTCAAAGGGAACTAGGGTATTTTGCTCTGGAGGGATCTGAAGTAACCCAGACTCATTTAGATGGGGCTGTGAGATAGCTCCTGCCTGACAGAGGTAGGTGCCCAGCTCCTTTTGAAATTCAAAAGGAGCTGGTATCAAATTCCCTGAGGGTGGTTCCTTTCAGATCTTTACCTAGGAGCTTTTACAGACTATTAGTAGCTTTTTACAGATTGATAGACTGGGAGGTCTCATGCCTTGAAAATGAAGTGATAAAAAACCCCTTATCAGATAAAGAGTCATTTTACAAGGAAGGATTTTGATTTGCCAAAAAAAATCTCTGCTATTTACTGAATGAACCCCCAACAATGTGTTGTATTTTTAAAACATTTGCTGGAAACCGATAGCATCCCTGGACTCAGGGGGACTGAAACCGTAACTCTATGGGATGCTGCAGGCTCTCCAGCGGCGGGAGGCTCCCAGCTCCCATGAATGATGAGAGAGGCAGGGTATCACATTATATTATATCATATCATATCATATTATATTATATTATATTATATTATATTATATCAGCTGATATATTAGATCAGCTACAGTGCCCTCCTCCCCTGGAAATCCATGGCCCCAGCTCCATCACTCTCAGCACAGGTTATTTCCCTAAGGTCTGGCTCTGCCAAGAGCCTCCTCTGCCCTGGCCCTCAGGGAGCAGCATCCAGACCCCAGGGGAGTTCCCTGCACCGGGATCTCCCAACGCGTCTGTAAAATGGGGGGCCAGCTCCTCCCTGGTTAAGCTTTCTGCCAGAGTCCATTCTGAAAACAGGAGACCAAATGAAATAAAATCCTTCCAAAAATACACTGGCCTGTCGGGAGCATGCAAATATTCATTCTGTATAGCAGATGCACCAGCGACTGTCCTAATATTTTCCCATATTACAGAGAAATAGCATGAGCATCTCTGATATACTCAAGTCGCAGTCTCCAAGTGTAAAGCAGCAAACAGGTGACCAAGTGTAAAAGCAGCTTTTAACAGGAGAGCTCGGGAATATTGCCCGCAAGAGTACTACTGCTTGTTTGTAGTGACAGCTATATTTGTGTAAAATAAACATTTTCTTTTAATGGCAAGGCCCTGTTTTTACTCACTTATTATTTGCATAGTGTTCAGGTCCAGCCTTACTTTGCTGAAGGTGGAAAACCCAGCTGCTGTGTAATCTTTTCTACACTGGCAGTCTTCTCGTCTGCTCCCGTTATACGGACATTCAGTCGGGTTATGCAATCTAGATCAAAAGAAAACCCTTTCTACTCATGACTGGAAAATATTGCCATGGAAAACAAAAACATTGTGAAGCTCAAGATTAAAGGATTTCTTACCTGTATCCATACACTTCTGAAAAATTCTCTGCATCCCCATTTACCAGGGTCACATACTCCTTTGGGCTGTCGGTCTGCATCCCAGAGCAATACACCTGAGAGAGAGAAGCCAGAATTTTGTCAGGTATCATGTGCAAAGGCATGGCTGAGAAAACCAAAGGTAGAAAATCCAAGAGTGGAAGTGAAGAGCACATGCAGGGTCCTCTTCACCTTCAGGCAATGTGTTAATGATCAATCTGCTGCTGAAACGCACCTTTAGCATCTTTCCTTTGACTTGAAGAAAATATTCGCCATCTTCAGTGACACCTTTGAGATTTTTAACATCTTTGCAACTCCTTGGTAATTCACCTGAAACAAAGCAGAAACACTTGTAGCCACTGAGCAACATCAAAATTTCTTTTGTAACACTGTGAGGCATCCAAAGCATCAAAACACCTTGTTTATTTTTAAGAGGCCTTCCTGAAGTGCCTTAGCACTTAGTTGGATGGCTCCCAATGCCTGGAAATACTGCACATCTCTAGGAGTTTGATGGGAACAGATGCTCAACAGATGAGAAAGGCAAAGGAAGGTGCAAATCCACGGACTTACACTCATGGATGTTGTGGCATGTCCTCATCTCTTCGGGTTTCAGATCTGCATGGCACAAGCTGCTGACCTGGTCGTCATTCGTCAGACACTGTACCGACCGGTGCATGACTCCAACTCCACAGGTGACGGAGCACTGCAAGACAGAGATTTGTATTTTATCTCAAGGGTTTCTGGGCTCCAGAAGAACAGAGACAGCCCTTTTCCCTTGTGCCAAGAGACAGCAGCAAAGGCCCCAATCCTGCAAAGTGTTCAAACACAGGCTTAATTTTAATCAAACAAGTAATCCCTTTTATTATTAATCCCTTCATTATTATCATCGTTACTAATTATTTCGAGAAGAATACTGAACTTCGCTTAGCATTTAAGCACTTTACAGGATGAGGCAGTATCGGTTAAGGTGAACCACGCACTCATGTGAAATTGTTTATTCTTCACACTAGGAAGGTTGTACAAGACAGACATGTTCACCACAAGGCCTGAATGGTAGAAATCCTCTCCTGGAGGCTGGGAGACTGCTAGGAGGTGACAGGGGCCTCTGAACACACATGGCACAGTTTGTTGTTTTCTATCCAAATCGTACCAAAACCCCCACAGCCTCCAAACCCTCTTTCCCCTCACCCTCTGGAAAAATGGTTAAATCTGCACAAACATTGGGTCATCCTCAAACAGCCAAAATCAAGGGCAATCTTAAGGCTGAAATTGCACAAGTTAACCGGAGCTGCCGAGCAGCAGCTTGTCTGCGCTGGCTGCTGCTGAGCATGGGCGATGGGAAGTGGGAGCATCTTGCTCTCCCTCTGCAACTTTTTCTTTCAGTACTTGAGAACTGAAAATCAGCTCTTTCTACAGGTACCAGGTTAGGCTGCCATGAAAATGATAGAACAGAATCATAGCATAGAATCATAGAATAGTTTGGGTTGGAATGGACCTTAGAAGCCATCTAGTCCACTGCCTTGGCAATGAGCAGGGACATCTTCAACTCGATCACATTGCTCAGAGCCCCATCCAGCCTGACCTTGAATGTTCCCAGGGATGGGGCATTTACCACCTCTCTGGGCAACCTATTCCAGTGTTTCACTGCCTTCATTGTAAAAAATTTCTTCCTTATATCTAGTCTAAATCTACCCTCTTTTAGTTTAAAATCATTACCCCTTGTCCTATTGCAACAGGCCCTGCTAAAAAGTTTGTCCCCATCTTTTTTATAAGCCCCCTTTAAGTACTGAAAGATGCTGCTCATCTATTTAGAAATCATTAGTCTAAAGGAGCACAACACGAAGGAGACAGTCTTCAACGGCTCATGGTATTTGCAACCTGGCATTTACTCTTTATCAGGTTCAGATCCATAAAAGTTAACTAAGGAGCTGAGCAGGACTCTCTCAGTCCATCAAAGGTGATGGTGTTTTACATTAAAACCCTTTGAAAAACAGAGATGAGAAGGGTCATGGCACTTGTTAGTTGCTGGGACCTTCAGCAGCCAGAAGTGAGGAGAAAGGTCTTGCTTTCTGAAATGGATACTCTTTGCAATGAAATTGTATTAGAGTTGAACATTTTACACTGAAATTCTGGGAGACAATACCCGTTAATCGAGGCTGAGCTCTTTGCTGTAACTTCTCTGCCCTGACTTGCAGGGAGGATCTGAAGCTTCCTATGGGTCAGGAAGAACTTAGGTTTCAAATGGCTTTGCCACTTATTGTAACAACTTCCACTACATTTTGCTTGACTTGACCCTCATTGCCTTGTAAAGGTTTGACAATTCCTGCAAATGCCTGAGCTGGGTTAATAAATCAAATTTATGGGAGAAAAATCACATTTCAAAGAATGTCAGAAGCCTAAAGAAGTGAAATGTTATCACCTTAACTAAAATTTGATCTTGTAGTTCAGGCCCCAGAAGAGGCTCACACAAATAACTTTAGCAGAAAGGCTAAGTTCTTTCCCCTGCCCTGTCCCAGCATGTGTAAGAAGGAAGGGGGGGAAAAAAGAAAGAAAAATCCTTCTAAGGCTCAAATTACCAGTGTTTTGGGCTATTGGTGGTTCCCAAGTCTTGCTCACACACGTGGCCAAGAGGGATCAACCCCAGTTGCCAGCTATCCATTACAGATCCCTCTAGCACAAGGCTTTCAAACCCTTGTTTTCTGGCTATGACCCCACTTTCCGACTAAGCATTCAGCACAACCATCAACACCGCCACAAATTTTGGCTAAATCCAAATTTTCAGAGAGATCATGACTTGTGGCTATTGGGACTTCCCCATACGATGGGGTTCAGTCTGGAGCAGGAGCCCTACCCACACACTGGGGCTGCCGCTGCATGAGGGTATTCATTGCATTCATTTGTGCAGCTCTTAAACATTCCCCTGCCAAACCTTCAGACTGTGTCCCCCGTGTAAAGGAGAATAAGTTTGTTCCAATTTTTTTGGTTAAAAAAAGAAGTTTGCCAAACTTACGCTGCCCCAGTTGCCGACGCGCCAGGATGCAGAGACGGGGCACTCCCCAAGGTAGCAGGGCTGGATGTTGGGCGGCTGTGTGCCAGGACAGTTGACCGTGTTCTGGTACCCATACTCGTAGTGGTCCTTCCCGGTGTAAATCTCGCTGCAGGACACCAGGCGCTGCCTGTATCCCTTTCCACACGTGACGGAGCACTGCGGGCAGAGGAAGTGCCCGTTAGCACGGCGCCCTTCAGGAAGGCTGCCCGGAATGGGGAGGAAAAGCAGGCTTGCCAGCTTTTGACATGGCAAGATGCTCGGGGGGATCACTAGTAACTATTTATGCCAGCCATGAGTATTGTGAGTGGCTAAAAGTGGGCCAGTGCCTGACACTGCCTTTGAGCACCCAATTCCTCCCTGTGCTGCTCCTACAGCTGCTCCAGGACCCCTTACTCCAGGCTGGCTCCTGGGCACAAGTTATCTCTCCCCAAGGGCAAAGAAAGGAGCAGAAAGCAGAAGATCCTTGAGAACTCAGAAATGCCTCTATTATTTGGGTTTTCCTTTTTCTTCCTTTTTGTCTTTTTTTTTTTTTTTTTTTTTTTTTGCCATGGGATGCACAAAGAAAGAAAATGGTCAAGACTGACCCTGAATTGCAGGTACTTGGCAGCAACTGGAAGAAAGGGAAAGCCTTCTTTCTAATTAGAGGACAAACAGTGCTTCTGTCCTCCTCATCAAACGGCTGGGCGGGAGCAGGGATGAGCTGAGCTCCAGCCCTGCCAACCCTCGCCCACCTCCTCGTCTTCATGGGCCTGAGTGCTCCCAGGGGTCACAGGCGTGGGCAGAGGGTGTCTGGGCAAGGGGCAGCCAGGGCTCCAGCCTCACAGGCACCCTAATACTTCCCTTACGAAAGAACCCAGGAGGCCAGGCTGCTCTGAGAAATTCTCACGTCTCCACGTTTCTCCCTCCTGCACTATCTTGGGTGGCTTGTATCTCCTCCCCCTCAGCCCCGGCATGTTTTCTTTTTTCCCTTTTCTTGTTCTTTCTTTTTAATCAGTGCTGTGTCAGCAGTTGCCTTGTCGTTTCCCCTCTGCTGTTCCTCCAAGTGGAAAGTAATCCCTCACTAGCTGGAGAAGGAAACAGGCTGAGATTAGCCCAAGTCCTCCCGCATGCAGCGCCTGCTGCAAGGAAAACTCATCTATTTTCCTTGCCGAGCCCTCTCCCAGCCGTGAGGGTGAAGCTGCTGCCTTCGCTCACGCCAGGTCCTCCCTCCTGCCCAAGATGGCACAGAGGAAGGACATGTCCCCATGGTCACATCCAGGCTCGCCTTCCCCCAGGATGCTCACCCAGACCCTCGCACAGCTCGTGGGGCCCCAGAGCTGCCCCGGACCAGATGGGAATAAATCAAAATAAATAAAAAAATGAAATAAAATGGCACAAAACCAAAGAGGGTGTCTGCTGGATATGATGTGTTTTGGAAGAAAATTGCCTCTAGATACTAGCTAGGAGCCTGAGCATGCTGGCATTTACTCTTTAATATCCTTGTCTTCTCCCACAGCCCTGCTCCTTTCTCTCCAGCAGGGAAATTGCACACAGAAACAAACCAGAAAAAAAAAAAACCTAAACCACACAGCACTGCCCTGCCACTGTTGATTTGGGTTGCAATATCTCAGCGAGGCTGGCGGTGAGAGGAGGAGAACGTGGCCCAGCGCCGAGCGATGCGGCCAGGTCCCTGTGCGGGGATGGGGACTCACCTCCGACCACTCCCCGGTGATCCAGACGTACTCGCAGGGCGGCAGCCCGCAGCTCTCGATTTCGGGGGGGCGTTTGCTGGCGTCGCAGTAGCCACTGTTCTGCACCCGCTTGTTCTCATCCATGCAGACCACCTTGCGGTACCGGGACGCCTCCCCGCACGTCTTCATGCACTGTTTGCAAGAAACAACGGCTCACGCAATCCACGAGGGACTTCAGCAAATTAATCCACACCTGCAAAGCGAGTGAGCCCTCCTCCCAGCAGCCCGAGTGAGCGGATGGCTCTGTGCCCCATGTGGGTGTCTCTCATGGGTATCACTCGGGGGCAAATTTAAGACCAGGGCCCTGCTGTGCCAGATGCCACGGGAGCATCCAGTGACAAATTATTCCCATCCTCTGGAGGTACCAAGCCAAATCGCAGGTGTAGGGAGCGAGGAGAAACAGAGGCAGCAGGTATTGGGATGGGGTGGATGTGGGGTCCAGCTGCGATGGGACCAAGAGATGCAGGGGTGGGCATGCTGGGTCAGGAGATGGAGCAAAGGGGAAAGAAAGGGGCCAATCCCCATCGTTTCAGTTCCTAGTAAATACAGCTGCTTGGAGAACGACAATTCAGCCATCCCCCTTCCAAAATACAGGCTGCTGCACCCTTGGCCGTGGCTGGCTGGGGGGGAGCCCCTTGCCTGGTCCCTGCCAGCTGGGGAGCTGCAGCCCCTGCCCTGGCATGGCATGGGGGCACATCTCTGCAACCGCTGCAGCAGAGGGGGCCCTATGCATTTATTCTCTTTTAAAAAACGCTGCTCTGCCCGATATTAAGAGCAACCCCTGCTAGCTGTGCACAACTGCTCCCCGGGGGCTTCTGGAGAGTTTAAGGACTCTGTTCTTTCTCTGCTCATCTTGGAAAAACCATCCAGGCCGTGAGGCTGTGCTCCTGGGAGCGAGTCTGTGTTGGGAACACATCTTACAAAGCACGCACATAAAACAAAATAAATCAGTGTAAGGGCAGCTGTCTGGATAAAACTGTATTTTCTTAAAGTTATTGCCTGTAATGGACTTCTAACACTCTCAACTAACTGGATTAACAAGGAGAAAAAATGCGTGAAAATAATCATTTTATATAACACGCAGGAAATGTCTTACCCTAAGCAAAAGGATAAAATATTCAATCAGACCTTCCCTATCTGCACAGAAACACCGTCTGAAGTCACCTAGGTTCAGAGGACCGTGCCAGTTTAATCTAGTTAAGAGTCTCACCCTCCAAACATTGCTTCCAGCCTCCTGGACACAGCTCCTGCTCTCCCGGCTGGCCCACAATTAGCAAGATCTTAGTGAGTTCACCTAACTGCAAAAACACAGGCACTATCAGGCCCCTGTTTCTGTAATTAGGTGTCAGAACCAAGATTGCAAATTATGTGAGAGCTTTGAAAAATCAGATCAATCCGTGGCAGGAACGGCACGCCAGGAGAGCTGCGGCGAGCACAACGTCACGTCGGTCGTAAATATTTAGTAACTGTGCAAAGTGGAGGGGGGACAGGGAAGGAGAGGCAGCCCCACAAAGCAGCGTTTATTCCGAAGGAATAACTTAGGAGCTCTTAGGCAACAGTCAACATTGCAAAATCCGCAGCCTGCCAAAAGACCCCAAGGGCTTCGTGCGCTTTCAACCTTACTTATTCTCTTGCTTTAAGTCCTTAGAGTGGAAGCTCCTTCTAGGTCTGTGCTGAAACACAGCGATCCTACAGGGGCTGGAGGAATTTGCTGGAGTGTGATTTTGCTAGAGAGCAAACAAACTGTGCTGTATCTGCCTTTCTCCGATACCTCCCTACTAGATAAGTAAAATCTGAAAGGGTGTTATTGCACGTGGGTAAGGCATCACGAGCGCTCCATCGCCACGTAGCTTCCCTGGGTGGCACCTTGCAGAGGCAGTGTGAATCCCAACCTTCCTGCTCCCTCCTAACGAGGGACTCTCCGGCACAGTGGGAGCAGGGCTTTGGGATGCTCAGAGCTCCCCTTGTCTCTGGTTTGGCGCACATCAGCCCAGCGCATGGTCCCCAGCACAGGGTGAATCGTCCCAGCTTGCAGCCAAAGGAGACACCTCGCAAGGAGGGGGAAGAAACAAGGCTGATTTCGTCTCCTCCCCTTAACGTGTATTTAAGCCTGAATTTGCAAAGTACATTGTCTCATGCTTAATTTTAGGAGGCTGAATAATCTCTGTGCCATCACTGGGTCTTCTGACATTGGCCGTGAAGAGCTATCATATCAACAGCCCATCCTCATTTAAAATCATTAGCTGCTGATGAGAGATTGATGCTCTCAAACACACGCCAGCCTGCTTTGGGTTTCTCTGCAGATAACCCTCATATGGCCAAATAAACCCGAGCCAGCTCTGTGCGTTTTGTCATCATCAGTAAATTAAGGTTTGATTATTTGTATTTTGAAGGGATAACTGGTAAATAAAATAATCCCACTGTGATATTAAATACAGCTCAAAGACAGTGAGGCCATCATAAAACCAACCAAAGAGAAACACTGCAGAGGTTGCAATCAGCCACCCCAAGGTTATAAACCATTATTCCCATAGGAAGTGGACAGTTCAGCTAGCGTGAAAAGGCTATTTTTCCTTTTAATACAGTGATAGATTTTGCATGAAATCTCATGCTCGTGACCGATGTAAATCTCACATAAAACAGCAGGGCTAGGGGATAACAGCAGGAGCTGAAAAACAGGTCAGGCATTTGACAATATTTGTCTCTTTTGCCTCATTTCCCAAATTTTGAACTATTTTGCTGGCAGTTCAAATTAAGGATCATTTCAAGCACTTCTACAACTGTTTTAGAAGAGTAATAATAATAACAATAATAATTTAAAACGCCCAAAGGCATTGCTTTGTGAAAGCATTCATTATTTTCTTTTTTTTTTTTTTTTTTCAAATCAAAATCTGACACAGAGCTGAAACAAAACCCCATGCCACGAGCACTTCAAACATGCCTTGGGTAGCTCTGCAATCCAAATCAGGCAAGGATGGCACGATTTTACCCCAAACAGCAAATGTCAAAGATTCAAGAATTGCATTGGAGCTTCCAGAGCCATGTGTTGTCCTTCCACAGAGGTTCATGTTAAAAAACAACCCCTCCTCTCTCCCAGTTTTCCCTTTTTCTTCATGACCCGGGTCTGGGTTTTACTTTGACATTAGCAAGGCCCCTTCTATTGACTTTATTCTCCCTGGCGTGGGCACGGAGAACAGCGAATTAATGGCGATAACCAAAGAGCAATAAACCATTTCCAATAAGTTCCCTATTCCTTTTCATTGGCAAGACCAACTTTTTTCTAAACAACAACAACAACAACAAAAAGGAACAATAAAAAAACCCCCTCTCAACAGATTCCCTTTAAAGGTAAGAAATCAAGAACAAGGCAGTGCTGGGATGTTATTTTACATCCCGCCTTTCGTGTCAATTAGGGTTCATTGCTGTTCCCTGCTCAGAGAGTAGTAATGCAGTCTGTGCCTCCTCCCTATAAATAACATGAAGCCACTACTTATGGCTGGGGAGAAGGTGCTATTACTTTTCTTCACCGGTACATCACAACAAAATAAGAAGTGCTCAGAAGAACTGCTTGGAGTCATCCAAAGGGCTGAGCTCACACTGAGCATCTCCTGCATGTTTCTATTGATGGTTATTGATGGATGAGGAAACTTCCAGCCCACCCTGCTAGCAAAGCTCCCTCGGAGGAAAAAAAAAAAAAAGTCTCTGTAACGCATTAAAAAATTCCCCAGTGCAATGGGGAGCCCTGGAAAACTTAGGAAAACATCAGCATTCGCCTCCACCAAGGGTTTGGCAGGCTGGGGGCTCTTGCTGCTGGTTTGAAAAGGTGCAAA